ACATGTCTCCCAGCTGAAATCAAGTCAATGAATTATTTAGACATATGACTTACACAGCGTTAACTACACCTGATTATAATGCTGCCCATCAAAAGTGAGTGGCAGCTGGCCCAAGAAAGCTCTGCACAAGTTACGCACTCTTGGTCTTTGTTGAACGATAGAAGATGCTGAAAGTCATTAATTTTGAGCAAAGGAATAAGCAAATGCTGAATCTGCTCAGTGTGTGTCTGTTTCAGCACCATGCATCCAAGGCTGGTAAAACACACGCACATGCTCATGGACTCTTACTGGGTGCTCAGAATGGACGGTGTTCTTCTGAGCTTGATGCAGCCTAGCATGCACATGGACTCTTACTAGGTACTTAGAACAGACAGTGCTCTTCTAAGCCTGATGCGGCCTAGCTTTTTATCCTTTCAACTTGTGGTTATTAGAATGCACCTTGGATTAGACAAGGTCTCAGTAATCTAATTAATAAAAATGATGGTAGTTATGTATTACCTTCATACAAAGTGTATTTACTGAACCAGCAAAAGCAGTCTCTCGAGGCCTCTCTATCCATGTGATGACCCATCCCAGTTTTCTTTTCCCCATTTGACAAATAAAGGAATTTAAAGAGGTTAGGAACTCACCTAAGGTCTCGTTACTAGCTAGGAACAAAACTACACTCTGACCCCTAAGTACCATGTACCTGTACCCTAAACCACTAAGCCACCTGCATCACAGACCCTGCCACCTGAGCTGGAGAGTGGGATCAGGGGTTAGAAGAGGGAAGCCCAGCACACACATGAGCCTCAGCCTATGACAGCCACTGCCCCAGTGTGACTGTGCTGCACAGCCTTTCTAGCTCCTCCCTCCCCCACCACTGCCAAGCAACTACTGCCTGAGCAGGTCCACTTGCCCATCAACATGGCTGGCTGCTCAGGGAGATTTCTCCACTTTCTCTTTTTGAAGAATTTGTCTGTTTTACAGATGTCCTTCCACCTGCAAACTGCCAACTTCTAAGTACCTTAAACAGTTCTTGTATAACTGGGAAGGCTTCACAGTATAAAACTGCGGCCTCTCTATCCCATGTGTAGGATAAATTTTTCTCTAGGATTACCACAGCTATTAAAAAAGCACTCAATACTTCCGGTTTGGGCCCGAGCATAGAGTAGGTCGCAGGCGGCAGCTCCGTACCCAACCCCAGAAAACCGAGAGAAACAGGGACTCCCAGGAGCTTGAACTCACGCAGCATCCCAGGTAAAAATGAATCACCCGTGATGCCTGCTATTAGAAGTTCTAATCCAGATGGGCCAGAAGCCAGGATCCTCGCCCTTACCCTCACCCCCTACCTTTTCCCACCTGCACAAGGTTCCCTGAAGCTTGGCAACTGCAAGATCCTGCTTGGCAACTGCAGATAGACTCAAAGCAGTGTACCATATCATCTGAAGAATAGCAGGGATACCATAACTCAAGCAGTGTACCATATCTTCTGAAGAATAGCAGGTTGCAGTCCTCCTCGCCCCCACGAATAACTAGGACCTGCCGGTCGGGTCAAGTGCACCCAGACATGGGGCTCGAGGCATGGACCCCTCTGGACGGACCCTCATTGAGAGGATGTGCGCACGACATCAAGATTGAGTGAGACAGAGATCGTTGCCGGCGACCTGCCATCCACGGAACCAGGTTGATGCTGCCATCAAGAAGACGGTTGAAGTTCATTACCATCAGCCAAAAATTGAAGAGGATCCAGAAGTGACTCCGCAGGAGACTGACACAGCTGCCAGCTCCCCTGCCTCCCCCTACGGTCGACCGCTAGACTTCCACACCCTCCAGAAGGGTTCCTGGTATGCCTGGCTTTGTCCTCGCTTCTCTCGCTAGAGAGCTTGGCCTCTTGATCACCACAACAAAAATTGGCTTTTTCCTAAACCAAGGCCGCCCTTGATATGGCCGCTAACATTGGGGAGCCTTCCTTTATGACAATATTACACCCCAAACTGACAAATGGTTGGTAACTTGAACATTCACAAAGGGACTTAGGATGGCTGTGAGTTAGCCCAATGACGGGATTATTGTAGGTCCACTTCCCAGGGGCCCACCCAATGCAGCCGAAAAGGAGTGCGTGGTGCTGGGAGTGGGTGCAGCCTACATGGCCTAAGACAGGGCTCTCACCCTCCTTTCACCCACATCGGAGTCCCTTGACGTTGCCCATCATCGACAGCCTAAAGCCTTCGACCATCGATGTGACTCGTCTCACATCAGTGTTTTGGGGTTGTGAACTTGTCTAAGACCCCCCATAATTAGACATCCAAATTCAAAATTCACATAGTTGGGATTGATCATAAGATGCCTTCTCTAACTAAACAGAGAAGGGGGAGATGCCAGAAGCCAGGACCCTCGCCCTTACCCTCACCCCCTACCTTTCCCCACCTGCACAATGTCCTCTGAAGCTTGGCAACTGCAAGATCCTGCTTAGCAACTGCAGATAGACTCAAAGCAGTGTACCATATCATCTTAAGAATAGCAGGGAGACCATAACTCAAGCAGTGTACCATATCTTCTTTAGAACAGCAGGTAGATCATAATTCAAGGCAGAGTACCTTATAGACCATGACATGTTTCAAGGCACAGGCCAAGAAGATTTTGTACTTTTCCACCACCTTGCCCTTCTTACCCCCTCCCCTTGTAAAACATGCTATAAAAAAGCATTAAAAAAAAAAAAAGCACTCAATATAAAACATGCACAAGCAGTTTGTCAAGCATCTCAAGAATCCAATAGCCTTCCTCCTCTATCCACATCAGTGGATAAGACCATCCTCTTCCACACAGGTGAGGAAGCACATGCAGGCAGAAGCTAACCAAGTCACCAGAAACACAATTTCCAGGAATGGAGCCAGGGCTCATGACTAAGCTGACTCCTAACACAAGCCAACAAAATAAAGGGACTATGGCCTTACCCTGTTACTGATGTTCAAAGCCAGTGTCTCTGAAGACTTAAGTCATTAGAGCCAGTGTACAATGCAGAGCTCCAGTGAGGTCAGATGAGATGGAAGACCAATGAGGGAATACACAATAGGAACTAGTTACTCTACTTCTGACTGCCTCTGACCTGGCTTTGATGCCCTAGAGCAGTGCTTCTCAGCCTTCCTAATGCTGTGACCCTTTGTTACAGTTCCTCATGAGGTGGTAAGCCCTCCCCCCCACACACACCATTAAATTATTTTTGTTGCTACTTCATAACAGCAATCTTACCACTGCTATGAGTCATAATGTAAACAGCTGTGTTTTCTGATGGTCTTAGTCGACCCCTGTGAAAAGGTAGTTAGAATGTCCCACCCAAGGGGTCACGGGCCACAGGTTGAGAACCACTTCCCAGAGACACCATGTTAGGATGCAAAGAGAAGTTCAAGGATTGGAACGTAGAAAGGAGGTCACAGGGCTGTGCTCAATTACAGGCGCATGAGAAACACTCAGACCACACCACCTGACACAGCCTCTGGACACACCCCTGCCCCAGCTTTACTCAAAAGCAGTTTCAAAGAAACACTAATGTTAGTGTTTGAGTATGAAATGTCCCCCACAGGATCGTGTGTTTAGTACTTGGCCCCCAGGTGTGAGAGCTGTGGAAAGGTTATGGAACCTTTAGAATATAGTCTAGGAAGCAGAAGTGGGTCTCGAAGATGGTACCTACTTCTGGTACCAATGTGAGCCCTCTGCTTCCTGCCTGCTGCAGTGATGTCAGCAGCCACATTACCACTTCCTGTCTGATGTAGTGATGTCCTTCCCTAAGTGGCATCTGTAGGATGTTTTGTCACAGTAGTGAGACAAGTCGCTAACACAGCCTAGAAGCTGCTCACATCACCTAAAATGGGAAAAACTGGAAACAGTCCAAATGCTAACCTGACCAATTAGTGTGGTCAATTTAATGTGCTACATGAATTCAATGAAATACCACACACAGGTCTACAAAATTGGTTAAGCTCAAACTGCCTTACAGTGAGAGGTGGCGGGGAGGTGAGATGAGAAACGGTGAGGTGTCAGTGGCACATGCAGGGGTAAAGTGTGTCCACAGGAGAATGCACTCAGGAAAAAGAATGGGTGCTTCCATAGGAGGCAGAATTTTAATTCATCATGTTTTATTTAATAAGATATAAATGACATCACAGAAAAAATAATTAGTGCCTCTTAAAAATAAGGTTAATGATATTTGTAGTTAGAGAAATGTTCTTGAAAAATACCCCACCAGCCTAATTTTTCTCCTGTGATATTATAAGACCTAAAACCTTGCTCCGACAAGTACAGCTGGGAGCAGCACCATTTACCACAATGCTGTGGGGCACATACAGCTCAGCACCTGAGAAGGACACAGCCTGTACATGCCTGCACTTTGACCAGGAAAACCAGGACCACTTCCAGCAAACACACCAAGTGGGAACACAGCGGCAGAGACACTAGGTTATGCACTGGGGAGTATCACAGAAGACAAAACCTAACCAATCCTGATATAGTCAGACTAGAATGCATCAGGAGCTACTAGAAAGAGGAAGGCAACCCTGGGCATACCCATATAGAACCTGTCTGGGATGCAGTATGAGTCCTGTACAGAAGAGGGGAGGAATACTCATATGTGCATATACCTGCCCCGTGCACACAGAGAATCCTGGGACTGACTATGGTTAAGACAGCAGGGAGCAAACTGAGCAGCAGGAAAAGGAGAATGCCCATCAGTCAACCTCCTGACTCTGACACACATGATGTATATCCCTCACTCACACAAGTGCATTGGGTGGAAATGCACAAATGTAGCTTCCTATGGTACTCCCTTTCTGTCTTGTTAGAAGCATGAGTGAGCTGTGGTAGAACATGCCTGTAATCCCTGCACTTGGAGACCAAGGCAGGGGGATGTCAAGAATGAGGCCTGCCTGGGCTCCATACATAGCAAGACCTTTTCTCAAAGACAAATGGGAAAGGTGTGTATGGAACAGGCTCACATGCTTGCCTCCCCACCCTGCCCCATCTACCTGGCCAGCGCCTGGACCTTTGTGGCATGGCGCTCCTGTTGCTCTGTCACCTTCTTCCGCAGGGCATCCACCTCTTGCCGAAGTGCCGCTGAGTGTTCCATCTCACCGTCAAGGAGATTCCGCAGTGACCTGCAAAAGAGGGCTCCGCAGTTCAGAGGCTGGGCATCCAGTTCACCTGTATAACAGTTCTGACCCAGATCAAGCCTCATCACTGCCCACAGGCTCTGTACAACCTCAATGCACCTTGCCTAAGCTGATTAGCAGACAGCAAACAAAAGCCAAGAGCCTGAGCCCTAGGCAAGCACCTGTGGTCAGACTCTGGGTCCCTGTTCCTAGGATAGTTGAGATCAAGGGAAAAAAGGAGCAGCAAATGCCAGAGAAGTGCTTTCAAAGACACTCCAGTCAAAGATGTAACATGTTAAACAGAAGCTCTGACACAGCCTCAGTGGGTAAGAGATCTTACAAATGAAGGGTTTCATAACAGGCCAAATGAATACTCTGCAGCAGAAAAGCACAGAACACTTGTTTGGTGCAATGACACTTGTTTTGTTCTATGACAGACGTCTCTTCCTGCTTCCACTGCTGCCCATAGAATACACCAGGACCCACGGTCCATTGCCTCCACCACGAAATCTAATGTGTATGGCATCCTATGGAGTACATGTTAGCATAACATTATCTTATATTTGTATACTTTTTAGCTTTTGCAGCATGGTCATTTGCATATACCCCAAAAAGTGACCAAAGGTTAGCAGCTGTAGGAAAGCTCACAAGTTACCACCCTGAGGTAAATCAATTATGGTTCTGCTTTACTACACCTAAGTGACTATTTCTAGAAAACCAACCGTGGTGTGTATATAGGCCACATCAGAGGATGTCTGCTGTGAACAACAGGATGTATCAGATACACCAAGCTCCACAGCGCCCCATTGCCACCGAGCTCTCCAAGAGCTTGGAGAAGAATCTCCTCCTGAAGCATGCCACCCTCTGACAGAAACACCATGGGGGATTCTGTCTGGGAAGAAGAAATCAACATAGAGTTGCTGTCATCCTTCCCAAGGGAAGATAAATTCATGGCTTCTTCCAAGAGAATTGCTCCAGCTGGTGCAAGGAAACGAACCTTGCAGTGGCAAGAAGTCTTCTGATGAGAGTTTGGGTTAGGTGGAAACGTCACCATCTACACCCCTCCTAATTAAAGCCTCTTCTGTTTTAGAAATCATGCTTCTTTATATGTCTCCATGAAGGACCACAAGCACCTTGTCAGCTAGAGCTGAAATAAGGTCTCAGAGAGAACTGTGGCTCCTGTCACCAGGAAGGCATAGTAGGGTGACCTGAACACACAAGTGGCCCCTCCGCCCACCTCCCTGAGTCAGGCAGCCTACTGGTGCCCACAGGATTCTGTGAATAACCTTGGGCAAGCCTGCCACTGGCCACTGTAGCCTCAGCACAGACTCTGGAGGGGAAAATGATCAACTTCAGACATTCTCATGGTGGCAACTAGTAGTTATCTGGAATGGATTTCAATAGGGAAAGAAGAAAAAAAAAATAAGAAAACACTTTGCCTCTTGGAGTGGACCACTGGGTTTTGGCCAAATTAAAAAAAATCTAAATGTCATGTTGCCCCAAGTATCCCTAATTTGAGTGGGACTGGAACACAGAATATAAACCCTCATTAGAGGTCACTTCAAGGATGTTTTATGGGAGGGGAGATGGACAGAAGTGGTGTGGCATATGTTCTTGAGATTATAAAGCTATTCTAAGACTGACCATGGTAATGGCTGCATAAATCTGAGAATAGACGAAAAACCACTGGGGTGTGTGTGTGTGTGTGTGTGTGTGTGTGTGTGATCATAATCAGTCAGGGCTGTCACTAGAGGCTCCTCTTCCACATCCTTCTTGTTGGAAGGTAGCACTACTGTTTCTGGCTGTTCATCCCTTGCTTATATGCAAGCCACAGCAAGTCTACTGAAATGCTCCATTCCAGAAAAGTAAGAAATCTATTAAGATCCCAACATCCAGGTCATACAACTCACAACTACCTGTGAATCTTGCTTCATGGCATCCAGTCCCCTCTTCTGGTATACACACAAACACACACACACAGAGGAATTTAAAGTAATAGTAAGGTAAGAAGTTATCAGTCACAGCTATGGCAGCAAGGCACCACTGTCTCCATCCATTCTCTCCACCAATGGGGACAGAATGTCTGGTAAAGTGACAGCCGTGATATCACAGTACCCGTTCTCTTCTTCCAATTCATCCTTTCTGTTCATCATGGCCACAATGGCTTGGCGCAGTTCATCTGAAGGAAGAAAGCAAAGGCAACATTTATGAGATGGTCCCTGCTAAGCTGTCCCCTTGAAGCTTGTCCACAGTACATGTCATTACATATGGCTTGTCTAGGTAAACTCCCTGTTTCCTAGAAGAGTTCTTTTACACCCTCAGCGACCTAATGGGCTCAACTGTCACCATCATCCACCACACAAACAGAAAGACAATGTAAGATGAGAACTAATATTATGTTGGGAGGAAGAGTGAGTTCCTTGGGAACACACTCAGCTTGCAATTTCTGAGTGCTTTCCCAAGTCTTTGTTCCTGGACAACATCTATTGTGAACAGTGATTTATTGCCTCTTACAGGTGTTCATCAGCCCAGACAGCAGATCGGGCAGTACTGAACTCCATGCTTGCATAAGACAGTCCATCAATGTTAGTAAACATCTGGCTCTCTATGCTGCCTTCTGAAGTTAGCATTCAGCAGACATAGGATAATATTCAATACACAGTGTACACTGCACATAGATTGGAGAAAGCCGCTCTTCTGACCTTTTCCACACAAAAAGGCATTCAAGGATAGGGAATGGCAATATGCACCCACATGTCCTACCTCTATCCAGCTTACCCACTGGTGCTATGCTCATGCTGAAGGCATGGCAAGATCCTAGCTGCATCTCAAGAGCTGCAGATGTCAACAGTGTTCCATCTGTTTCCTTGATTCCCCCTCATGGGGCTGCTAGGAAGCACAGGGCCCAAATCACACAGCTAATAGTAGTCTCTGACTATGTCCAAGAATATGCACCATGTCCAGAACCAACTACATGAGGTCACAACAGGGGTGCTCAAAGGCTTGGCAGCCAGCTTCATGTTTTAGGACAAGAAGCACTGATAATCCTACCACATGTCCTCAATTTAAAAATGTTTCACAATATAAAAAGTAGCTAGAAAGTGTCTTTCCATAGAAATAAGAATTAGAGATAACAGGAAGGGGGTGAGGCTGAGGACGAGAGGAAGGATCTGTAGCCTTGTCAGGCATCTCTGAGAAACAGAAAGGAGATTTAGGATGAGGCCTAGGGCAGTGAACTGGCAGGATTGAACCACTGAACACCAGTCACACTCTGCCTGGAAACACGATGGCCTGGGGCTCATACGTTCATTCCCTCACCCATCTACCAAGAGCATACGAGGTTCATGGACCTTCCCAAGTGAAGATCCAGGCTCTCACCTGGTCTAGGGAAGAAGAGGCCTTCCAAGGAAGGCTTCTAAGGAGAGGAACAATGACTATCACAAGCCCATGTGAAGCCAATTCAGTGAGGTTTCACTTCTGATCTGGCCCTGGTCCCAGCCTCACTCAAGAGTTGGGCTCTGTGAGGCCTTCCTTCATACAGCAGGGAGCAGCGCCCTGCTCACCTCCCAGAAGCGAGTGAGACAGGAGTGCCTCTCACAGGCTGCAGCAGGAAACACAGAATGAAGTCAAACTGCTTCTAACACTTAGAGTGTCACTCTAACTAATAAATCTATAGAGGAAAACAAAGCAAGTAATTTATCCCTATGTCGTTGTGGTCATGAAGGAAAATAGAATTAATCAGAATCACTCTTCTATCAACAGCAGGCAGGATAAAGCATTCTGGGCTCAGTCTTCAGGCAAGCCAGGTTAGTGCTGTGGGCACTGTGGACACAGGCTTGGCTACTCCTCCACTTTCCCACTGGAAGTCTTGGCTAGGCCTGAACCACACATGAGCAAAGAGAAGGGAGGTTCACTGTCACCATCTGGGGCTGGAAGACACAGAGTCTCCTAATTCAAGATCCTACACTGCTTGCCAGCAGCCCTGTCTACTCTCTTCTCTGCAGCAACAAAGCTGGCTGACATTCATGAACTGCTTGTGAGGTACCTGAGGAAGGACCAGAGTGTAACAGATGACAGGGGTCACTTCCAGCACCAGTGTACATAGCACAGAGTGGCCTGGAGTAGTTAGGTCAGGTGTTGTCACACTGACAAGCCCTTGGTTCCTCCATGCCCTCCATGCTGCTCTGCCTCTCCCACAGGGAAAGTCCATCAACAGATCACAATCCTGAGCACCTGTGTCCAACCTCCCTTCCCAGCTCAGCCACAGTGACAGCATGCATCTGGCTCAGAGGCCTCCTAGGGGGTCTCCAGATGATCCTGACTGCACTACTGTCACACAACCTGTGATCAGACTTTCCTTGAAGACAGAAGTTATTACACACAGATGTTATCTCAGATTTCCTGGTCAGGATCTCCAACTTACATTCTACAAAAACCTGAACTCATCTGCCCAGGCCCTGGTAAGGATGTGCCTCTTTTAAGAAGCCTCCCTGACTGCCCTTGCCCTGCAGCAGCTACTGGCATGAGACTGTGAGTCACTTTGTGTGGTGGTCTGAGTAGGAATGGCCCCCATGGACTCATGTGTTTAAATGCTTGGCTCATAAGGAGTGGTACAATTGGAAGGTGTGGCCTTGTTAGAATAGGTGTGGCCCTATTAGAGGAACTATGTCACCCTGTAGGTACGCTTTGAGGTCTCATATATAAGCTCAAGCTATTTCCAGTGTGGCACACTGTCTCCTGCTGGCTGCCTTCAGATCAAGATGTAGAACTCTCAACTCCTTAAGCACCATGTCTGCCTGCATGCTGACATGCTTCCCATCATGATAATAATGGACTAAACCTCTGAAACTGTAAGCTAGCCACATTAAATGTTTTCCTTTATAGGAGTTGCTGTGGTTATGGTGTCTCTTCACAGCAATAAAACCCAAACTAAGAGAACTTGGTCTTCCCCATGTGCACACGGCATGTTGAAAATAGAATGCACATCTCAGTTCCTGGGACCCCCTTCAATGCATGTTTAACCAAGGTGTTTGGTTTGATTTCAGAAAGATGAGTGGCCATGTTTTCTCTCATATGTGGAATCTAGATTTAAGTATGTGTGTGTGTATGTGTGTGTGTGTGTGTGTGTGTGTGCGTGTAAGAGTGTGAAAGATGAGGAATGCATGCAGCATGAAGGCAGAGGGGCTGTTTCAACAGAGGAAGGATTGCAGCAGAGGGAGCTGGGGACATAGAGGGGATAATGATAGATAATTAAGCAGACGGCACAATGACACTCATTACATTGTGTGCTAACTATAAATGAATAAATAATACATACACACAGAAATCCAATGACAATAACAGCACTTTCTATGAAGCTACAATGCTCCTACCCAGCAAGCTTTGTTTCCATTCTCACAGCCTCCTGTGAGAGCAATCAACAACACAGAGCAGGAAACAGATTCTGACAGTCCCTTCAGAATACCCAGTACCTCAAATCTCTACCACCTATGATGGTTGAAATGGTCCTGGTGGGCAGATGTGAAGGGCAAGAGGAAGTTCAGATACAGATTCTAGTAGCTTCCATTCCAGAAACAGAAGAAAATCTACAGCAAGTTGCTGACAACGGACTCTGTGTCCAGCAGTCCTAAGTTCAAGCCCCACTCAGCCACATGTCACAGGCAACCTTGACAGGTTTCAGCATTTGCAAACTACCAGACAGAATCATTCTTCATTTCCCCACAGGATGGCTGGTCTCAAGCACAGGGCAGCACTCAGCTTCAGCACTTATAGGATTTAGTCTCTGCAGTCTGGTACTCCTCTCAAATCCCAGCTCCTCGCCTGACCTTCTGAGGTCACTAGGGTTTAATGATCTTCTTTGAGGACCTTAAGGATAAAGTGAGATCTTGACAAGTCTCTGTTTCATGAGACATGGTGACACACACCAGTAACCCCAGTATTTGGGAGGTAGAAACAGCAGGATCAAGAGTTCAAGACCATCCTTGGCTACATAAGACCCTCTCTCAACAACAAGAACCAGCCAAACCCAGTCACTATCTCACAGAAATACTGTAAGGATTAAAAGAGGTAATATGCAAAAAGGTGCCTAGAACACAGTGGCATTTAACAGGTACTCACTGATGGTTCTCACTGTCCCTTTCCCTTCTTCAATTCAAGGGAACAGAAGGTGGAAACACAGTGCCCGTCATTTATACTGAGCCCCTCTGTACGAGTTGTGGGGTATACTAAGCTCCTGTGATCCTCAACCTTGGATATTAAAGAGCCTGATATGGATATCTCCTCAGAGGTCTTCAAGAGTCTGACATACTCAGAGGCAGAAGCTCACAACTAGCCATTGAACTGATCATGGGGTTCTCAATGGAGGAGTTAGAGTGAAGACTGAAGGAGAGCTGAAAGGATTTGCGGCCCCATGAGGAGAGCAACAATACCAACCAACCACAGCTCCCAGGGTCTAAACCACCAGCCTGGGAGCACTTAGGGAGGGATCCAGCGCTTCAGTTGAATATGTAAGAGTGGAGGGCCCTGCTGGGCATAGGTGGAAAAAGAGAACCTTGACATGAAGGCTGGATGCCCCAGGGGGTGGGAATTTTGAGGGTGGGG